ACCATGAGGTGAAGTTCTTTTTTAATTGAATTGGTGCATTTTAAGTGTATTTATTTATTTAGTGGTTTATTTATATATTTCTGATTTTATTTATAATTATGTCGGTTTTGGTCCTCCGTACTGCAGAACTTGGAAGGTAGTTCAGTGACTGAATCAGGTGTGTTGGAGCAGGAAAAACATAAAACATGCAGGGCTGCGGCCCTCCAGGACCAGGATTGCCCACCCCTGCCATAGGAATATATATTTTTATTAAGTTTATTATGTTTGTTTTATTAGTTCATTGTTCTCCATGCATTTTTAAATATAAAAACCAAATCAACAACTTAGTAAAAATTTTGAGGACCCCCAAAATACCTCTCACGGACCCCTGAGGCTCCAGGGACCCCAGTTTGAGAATCTCCGATCTAGTGGCCCATGGGACACATCTGACCCGCAATTTTTTTTTTTTTACTCAGTTTGATATAAAAATAGATTTTAAATCAATTATATATTTTTAATTTGGGATCAAATGTAACAAAATAAACAAATTTACAAAGTAGACTGAATGGACCAATAAGACGGAATCTTCAAATAACTCCAGCTTACCACTGATTTCTGAAAAAAAAAAGGTTTTGACATTGTGTAAAATGTAAACAAAAACAGAAAACAATGATTTGTAAATCTTGTAAATCCATATTTTATTCACAGCTGTAAAGAAATCAGATGCTTAAATCTGGTATTTTTAATAATTTAAGGGGGGAAATTTGTAATATTAAATTTAATGTGACAACATGGGTTTAAAATGTTGGGACAGATCCATGTTTACCATTCAGAAGCATCCCTTGTTCTTTTACTGACCGTCTTTAAGTGGCCAGGAAAAGAAGAGACTAGTTGTTGGAGTTTTGGAGGTGATGTTGTCAGATTGTTCAAACGTCTTAAGTTGTCTTTGAGATATTTTCTGTTTTAATACGCATCAAATATTTTCAGTTGCCGAGGGCTCCAGACTTCAGACTCTTATGAGACCAATATGCTGTAACAGATGCAGTCTTGTCTTGCTAAAATCAGCAAGACCTTCCCTAAAAAAAGGTGTTGTCGAGATGAAAGCTTTGTTCTAAATCTTGCATAGATACAGCGGGTAAAATAAGTATTGAACACGTCAACATTTTTCTCAGTAAATATATTACTAGAGGTGTTAATGACATGAAATTTTCACCAGATGTTGGTAACAACCCAAGTGATCCATACATACTGTCGTGGAAAGAATGGTCAGAAACACAGCGAAAAGGGTGTTTTAAAAGACAAGTCTTGCGG